AGAATAATCAAAAGTAGGTAAACTTAAATTATGATAATGCTGCTTTCAAGCAGAAGTCCCCAGTACAGGAAAAATAAAGAACAATTTTAAAAGTTATTTACTTTACACATTTCAGTCAATTCTTATGAGGGAAAACGTAACTTTATAAAAATCACCACTTGCCTAATCCAGAAGATCACGGCTAACTCATTACTTTGTATTAGGTTTTTCACAGGTCTTTGAGGCCCTGTTGCTTCTGATAGTCCTGTAAGGATCACATAAGACTTAGAAATATTACTAATACTATATTATTAGATAGGTTGCCTCTGAGACTATTTTTCCCAGTCCTGTCGGTGCACCCATTTTAAATGACAGGCATGTATCTCCACTTCTTTATGGAATGGGATCCCACATGCCAAGCGTTTTCCAGCTGGGGCTGCAGGATATACCATGTTTGCCAGCTGTTTTTATTTAGCAGGCCCAGTGGACATAGCATCTTCAAGAGTTTCTTTTGGGAATATATGTGCAGTTATAGGTGCAGCAGAAGAAGCATCTTCTAGACTAAATAAAGAATAATTTTAAGATACAGATTTAAAATAAGAGACCTATAACATATGCTGTTTTACCTACATACAACATTCCCTTCAAGCTCCTACATACACCTGATTTAACCACTCTAGCACCCCTCTTTTCTCTCACAAGTTAAGTTTCCTTGCTCCAAAGACCCTCAACTCTCTTAGCCTCCTGGGTATGTTGATCAGTTCCCCTCAATCTCTCTGTAGAGCAGATCCTTCAATAGACCTTATATTCTCTCTCTTCTCAGCCTGAACAAAACAGCTCTGTTGCCTGTCCTTCTCGGCTGTTAAGCTGGCTAATGTATATGAGGGTAAAATTCTTACCTATATCATTGTAACTCTTTCTGTGCACATGTGGTGTGTTTTTCTTTCAATATTATGTGGCAGACCCAGGACAGCTGGTTACAAATATTGGTGGGGGGAATACATGTGCCATCACCTGGGTGAATGGTTTTGTTTCCTGAATAAACTGCCAGAGGCTGCTACCATGTAATCAAGGCCGGCAGACATCTGAGGTAGCTAAGAGCTTGACTGAAGCAGCAGGCTAATCAGGCACCTGCAGCCAGTTAAGGCCTGCTGCACTAGTTTCAGAGGTTTCCCCTCCATGTAAGGAAGGGAGAAGGAGAGTGAAGGACTAAGGAGGAATTGTACTGCTGGAGAGCTGAGAATTGAAAAAGGAAAGTGTTTGGGCTGAAGCAGGAAAAACTTGCTCAAGTACCAGGGAGAAGGTCCTAGGGGAGTATTTGGAGAAGTGGCTCAGAGAAAAGGGTGCTGTATTGAAGTTAGAGGGGGAAAAACTCTGCCAGGTGCTGCGACCTAGAGTTCCTGGGCTGGAACTTGGAGTAGTGGACAGGCCTGGGTTCCCCCCAGCTCTTCCCACATTACTAAAAGATCTGCTCCTGGAAAGGGAGGCCAGGATTACAGAGGGGTTTCAACCCAATTCTTTAACCTTGCCAATGATGAAAATGGTTTAGTAAGCTGTGCCCCTGGCCTTTAGAAAAGATAAGAGGCAGTGTGGAGGGTCACAGCAAATCTAAGGGGTGTACACCTACAAGTACCCCTGGGCTATGGCCAGAGTTTTGCTACAATTCCAACCCATTTTGATGAAATTCTGTGCATTCAGACAGGGTAATACTGTGTATCTTTCCACATCAATCTATTTATTAAAAACAAAAATTTCTAAGTCCGTCACAGTATTTGTAACACTACTGTCCTGTTCTAGCAGTACTGTAGCCATTCTGACAACAAGGAGATATCCAGAGCCTTTACTGGATGGCTTCCCAGTGGAGAACAAATCAATGGCATAGAATCTGGGTATAGTGAAAGCATAACTCGTTTTATTTACACATTTATTTACTAGAGCTAGAACAGAAGTGATTAAAATGTGAACTATCTTTCATGCTTAAGAATAAAAAATTCTAGCACACAAAGCTTCTTCTCTGTGTGAAACAGACAATATAGCATTGTGCTAGCAAATTTGGAAAACAAGGTGAAACTTATGGTAAATTGAATATGGTGATAAATCTTATGTCATTGTTAAAGAATGAAATGAGAGAGAAGAAAAATATGAACCAACAAAAAACCCCTACACATCATAATCAGAACTGTTGCCTGATTTTAGAGGGTTGTATATTGTAAGCTTCCCCAAAGATCTTGCCAAAAGACAATCTGTTTCTTGACCTGAAATCAGGCTGCACAGAATTAAATATACAGAGTTCAATACTTTGTTAGGACCCTCAGGGTGTGTGGCAAGAACACTCACACTGAAGACAGAACTAAGTTTTAGAGATTGTTTTATTGAAATAAAGGAGAAAGTTATCAATGCTCTGAATCACAGACTTAAAAAGGAATACAGTGGTTCTGGGGGTACTTGTGCTATTATTCCTTACAAAAGCTATTTAGACTAGCATACTCCTTCCTTTTGGGACTTTATAAGACACAAAGGACCAGACTTGTCTTTGGCATGCCTAATGAATCTGATGGTTCAAGTTCTTCAGTGCTTAAGAACGATAGCTGAAAGGTCAAATGGTGAGTAGCTATGTTACATGGAGAAAGCTAAGCTAAAAGATAAAACCAAAACAAAAGGGGACTCTATCCAGCTGGTGGATATCCCTCTTATAGGGTCTTGGCAATATCCTGAATAGCCATGTCAATGCCCAAATCTCATTTGCTTACTCAGTCATCTTAGGCTACGTTTACACTGCACATTGTTGTGCAAGATATGCAAATGAGGTGTGGTGATGAATATCTCTGCCTCATTTGCATACCTAATGAGCCACCATTTTTGCAGAAGGTGCTTTTGTGCAAGAAGGAGCTGCCTACACTGCTCCTTCTTGCACAAAAAAAACCCCTGTTGCACAGGAGCCCTTCTGCCACTTATTTTTAGGAAGAACGGCTCCTGCAAAAGAGGGTTTTTTTGAGCAAGAAGGAGCAGTGTAGGCAGCTCCTTCTTGCACAAAAGCACCTTCTGCAAAAATGGCAGCTCATTAGGTTTGCAAATGAGGCACAGCAATATTCATCACCATGCCTCATTTGCATATCTTCTTGCGCAACAATGCGCACTGTAGATGTAGCCCCAAGGTATACTTATTCAACAAACTAGCAGTCCTGTCATATGACAGAGTGCATTCGGCTCAAACACCCCCTGCTGGAGCTCTCCAGGTTCTACAATACCTGTTGCAGGAAAGGAGAGGTTGACTCAAATCGTCCAAGTGGCCTAGAAATACGGTGCAGTAAAAAACAATAAGGCTGCGTCTAGACTGGCATGATTTTTCAGAAATACTTTTAACGGAAAAAGCATCCATGGCCAGTCTAGATGCGATTTTGCGCAAGAAAGCCCCAATCGCCATTTTAGCCATTGGGGCTTTTTTGTGCAAAACAGTTCTTCCCTGTCTACATTGGCCCTCTTCCACAAGTATTCTTGCACAAGAGGGCTTTTTCCCGAGCGGGAGCATGAAAGTATTTGTGCAAGAAGCACTGATTTTGTACATTACAAAGTCAATGCTCTTGCACAAATTCAAGCAGCCAGTGTAGACAGCTGGCAAGTTTTTGCATAAAAGCAGCTGCTTTTGCGCAAAATCTTGCCAGTCTAGACGAACTGTAAAAGTGTGGCAGGCTAATATTAAAGGAGCTACAGTGCAGAGCAGAGTCTGTTCCTTGATGGAGGTACAGGGATATAAACTATGCTCTTGGATGGCCAAAGGTAACTGCAGCACTATTGCCAGCCCAGTCCTGGTAGGGATCAGGAGAATGAGAAGATGCCTAGCCTGGTTGCTGGGAATGAGCAAAAGAGCCCTGAGATAATGGTGGAGGCTATGGTGTAGACAAGTGGCCCAAGGAAAGCCCTTTCTTTAAAGGGACTTAGTGGCATGTGGCTACTCTTCTTAGGGTCCCTAAATTACTGGTTGGCTTCCCCGCCACCCCACTCCCCCAGTTCCTAGAGAGATGGCCTGCAATTGGACAGTTCTTGAGAAATCCATCTCTCCTCTGACTCCATAACTTTTCTTTATTAAATCCAGAAGCTTATTTCCCCCTCCGTAGGTGCCTTGCTCTAAGGAAAATCATACACAGAGTGCAGTTCACCTCTCAAGTTCCAGCAAGGACATGTCTGCAACTACTGGGACATGTGGCAGGGTTGTTTGTTTTGTGACACAGATGCCGCATCTCCAGACTGGCTCTGGACTGTTTATATATCCAACAGAATTGACTTAGTACCTGTACCTAGTCCTATAAGGAGGAACCCTAGCCAACCCAAATTCTCCTTCCCTGTCCTATTGCTATCAGGTACTTTCATATTAGGATGAGGAGCACACATCTAAAACAAATGGTCACAAGAGCAGCAGTTCCACATCTGTCTAGAATTCAGGGTGATCACAAATTCTTGCCTATACTTTCTTCCCTTAATTAGAAACACATGCATCATGCCACCCTATATAGCCTTGTCACTGGGCACAAGGATTCATACGAAACGTGTGCACTAAACAGCAACTGCTACCAAAAATTTCCAACCAAAGGCACAGAGGGTAGTGAGCTCCTATTGTGCAGATCAACAGGGGGACACATCTCAAACTCCTACAATACCTAGGTAAAGAGGGGTTAGGGTAGAACATCAATTGAACATAGATTTCCTATGTTACGCTATAGCAAAATGGGTTAATGGAATTGTTGGATGTATAAGCGAGGAACATGAAGCACGAGTAGAAAGGTGGTATACTACCTCTGAGACATTTACTGAAATACTGTGCTATGTTCAATTCATTTCCCCCAAAAAGGGATTTTGAGACCTTTGAGTTCAGAAGAGCTGTAAGATTTATTTTAAGTCTAGAAAAGATGTCCAATAGTGAGACACTAAATATGTTCAATCTGTCTAATTTATCATCAAGAAGGATACAATTTCTGGGTTTACAAGTACCTATATGTAAGTTGATAGCCTTTTTTTTCTCCTAGGTTAAAGAGCTAACAAGATCCAGAAGTTGGAAACTGAAGCCGAACAAATTCAATCTAATAATAATGCACACATTTTTAACAGACAACCACTGGAAGAGATTATTTAGGGATGTGATGGATTAATCATCATTTGAAGCTTTCAATCTATTGTAGATGGCTTTCTAAACATAGTTTAAATTGAAATTGAGTTGGAGGCAGAGTTTCCTTGGTGAGGTTATTCAGCCTTTCTTATGCAGATTGGAGTAGGCCATAATGGTCCATTCTGGGTTTACCAATTTATGAATCATCACCTACAATGCGTACATCCTCACTCTAATTTCTATTTCAGGTAAACCGAATGTATGTATAACAGAATGAAAGACTAACATGAGAGAGAAAAGTTGGAACAATCTAGCAGTACAACTGGATGGAGATAATCAAAAGGGCAAACAGAAATATCAGGATTTATAAGTAGGGAGCACAGAGAACAAGTTGGAAAAAAATAATCTAATACTACAGGGGCTTACTACTGTTAACATTTACAAGACCATGCGAATGCATAGTTTTCAGATAACCTCTTTGAACTAATACTAACCCTCAGGACTTTGGGACACAAACAAATGGTAAAATACAGTAAGTAAAAAGACATAAGGCAAAATAGTTCTAAATTAGAGGATGGTGAACTTTGAAAATGTTATCAAGGCAACAATAAAAAAAATGAACATACTCTTGTTCAAGAAATTAGACAAGACTTTTGCTAAACTCTTTCTCCCACCTCCAAAAAGAAAAGAAAACTAAAGATTAGTACTAAATAACTAAATATCATCACCTAGTTAATGTGAAGGGTTCCCAGATTTTTTTTCAAATATCTGGGAACAAGAAGACATACTATCTATAGACTAGTATCAGAGGGGTAGCCGTGTTAGTCTGAATCTGCAAAAGCGGCAAGGAGTCCTGTGGCATCTTATAGGCTAACTGAAGTGTAGGAGCATAAGCTTTCGTGGGCAAAGACCCACTTCGTCAGATGCATGTACATCATGAGTTATTTGCAACTCCTACAGCTAGATGTTCTTGAAAAAAAATCCATTCACAAACCAGTGTGGGTGAAAACTTTGATATAATGGATCATCAAAAGGATTATAATTGCAAGATTTCATTGTACTGAATAAATAGAATATCATTAAAATGAAAATATGTTAAGAACACTTTCAATGATAATTATGTTTACCTCTGAATAGTCATAGCAGAGACAGCAACCATAACAGAATTTTCAAAGCATATTGCATCGTGTACTTACGTGCTATCTGTCCCAAGACCTTAACCTGATGAAAGTCAAAAATAAAGTTTCTGGTTCTCGGGAGGATACATAGCTTCAAGTGCTGGCATTACTTTTTATTCACATGTATATTAGTCACATGATTCATTTTTAAATCTATTCTGAGAGTTAGGAAATAAGAAAGTGATAGGTTTGTAAAAAATAAAATAAATAATTCATCCCTAACCTCTAGTCCCAAATCAATGTTAAGGTATATAGTGATATTACTAAAGGAAGACGAATATTCCTGCAGTTAGCCAAATGTTCTGCAGTCTACATAGATCATTATAGCTATCTACAATGCATAGATAAGCACAGTGGTTAATAGCTGTGCCCCTTTGGTCTGTATGCTCTGAAAGGTGACAAATGTTTTAGAATTTGTATGTGCATATTTGAAGAAAATCTACAAGCAGCCATAAAGCATAGAGGTTTGAAGGTATAACTTCTTTTATAGATGAGGACATCACATGATAATGATATTCCCATAGCTTTTATTATTGATCCACTGGGTAAGAATACATAGAGGACTGATTATTTTATATGAAATTCAACATATAATGTCACTAGATTTTTATGGTCTGGATTTTATTAAGTGGAAGGCTTGAAAGTCAACATTTGTCAACAATTACCATAGGTGTGCCCAGCTATAAATCTAGGGAGAACATTCTATACCCTCAGCTGCTGACTTACAATTTAGTTGTGAAGACATTGATTTATATCCCCTTCCTCCTAATCCCAGATTTCAGCTTCTTGTATTGTTTGCAAATAATATGGCAAAGCTAAACTCCTTATCTTTCCCCCCAAATATTATTCTCTTCCCTTCTTACATAAGAACAGCCATACTGGGTCAGACCAAAGGTCCATCTAGCCCAGTACCTATCTTCCAACAGTGGCTAATGCCAGTTGTCCCAGAGAGAGTGAACAGAAACAGGTAGTCATCAAGTGATCCCTCCCCTATCATCCGTTTCCAGCTTCTGAGAAAATGAGGCTAGGGACACCATTCCTACCCATCCTGGGCTAATAGCCATTGAATTTATCTAGTTCCTTTTTGACTGCTGTTGGTCTTCACAACATTCTCTGGCGAGGAGTTCCACAGGTACCTTTTTTAATGATTCTTAATGTTCTATTTTCTTTTTTGATTGCTGCTACACAGAGTGGATGTTTTCAGAGCACTATCCACAATGAGTCCAAGATCTCTCTCTTGAGTAGTTGTAGCTAAATTAGTCCCCATAATATTGTGTGTATAATTGGGATTATTTTTTCCAATGTGCATTACTTCACGTTTATCAACATTAAATTTCATTTGCCATTTTGTTGCCGAACATATGTTGCCCTAGGATCTCTGATAAAAGCAGTCCAAGTGCTCCGAAAACGAAAACAACTGCTGATTACATCCTGTGCAAGACAATATAAATTTAAGAATCTTGTTTATTGGGAAAATAGAAAAAAAATGTCTCTCTCACTTTGTTGAAAATTGTAGAAGTTCCTGTATTTTATTTTCCATCTGTAGTAGAAAAGACTGCTGCCATAATCAAAGCAGAAGTCAATGGGTGTGTATGTGTGTGTATGGGGGGGGAGGTATATTAAGATTTGGCGGTAGTAGTGGAGAGAAATGCATGCATACTGGAAATGCTCAGGAGGAAGAACCAGTTAGGTTTAGAAATAACTTGGATACATGGCGGGGGAAAAAGAGGAAGAAGGCAAAAAGAACCTCCAGATGGTTGGTGTGAATGTTGGGAGGAAGGTACTGTTACTATCAATGAGAAAAAATTGGAATAATGTAAACATGGATAGAGAATAAGACAGAGAATATGTTAGTGTCTCTATATAAATCCATGATATGCCCACATCTTGAATACTGCATACAGATGTGGTTGCCTCATCTCAAAAAATATCTTGGCATTGGAAAAGGGTCAGAAAAGGGCAACAAAAACATTAGATGTTTGGAACGTGTCCCATATAAAGAGAGATTAAAAAAGACTTGAACTTTTCAGCTTAGAAAAAAGGAGAATAAGGGGGGTTATAACAGAGGTCTATAAAATCATGACTGGTATGGAAAAAGTGAATAAGGAAAAGTTATTTACTTATTACCACAATATAAGAACTAGGGTGTCACTACATGAAATTAATAGGTAGCAGGTATAAAACAAGTTTTTCTTTACTCAGCACACAGTCAGTCTGTGGAACTCCTTGCCAGAGGATGTGGTAAAGGCTAGGACTGTAACAGGGTTCAAAAAAGAGCTAGATAGATCTATGGAGGTTAGATCGATCAATAGCCAGGATGGGTAGGAATGGTGTCCCTAACTTCTGTTTCTCTGTAGGTGGGTGACAGAGGAGGGATCACATGAGGATTACCTGTTGTGTTCCCTCCCTCTGTGGCATCTGGTATTGGCCACTGTCAGCAGACAGGATACTGGGCTAGATGGACCGTTGGTCTTTTCCAGTATGGCTGTTATATTCTTAAGTTGAGTAAAGAGGTATGTATGCTCCTTGTCCAGCCCTATAAGTCCAAACAAAAGCCTTCATGGTGTACACAGATGTCCAAACTGCTAAGAAAACTAAAATCTAGACATGAGCAAACATTATAAAACACCATTTAATAATCTTTTAAATACACCAGTGATGTATTAAAGTTGTGAATCAGATTTTTTTTATTTGCCTTTTGTTAAACTCTTCAGTTTTGTAATCAGTTGGAAACTGACATGCTCAATTTTGCATGTTATGCACAGACCTTTGATTTCATAATGACCCTAAATACTTAGAGTAAAATTATAAACATGGATTATTTTGATATAATTATTCATGGCTTATGTTATAGTTAACCTACAATGAATAAATGACACTAAGGTGAACTAACTGTACACAATGTCTCTGCTTTTGTATCCTTCTGTTAGAGGTTATATTTTCAATATGGGTGGGAATTTTAGAAATACTTTTGAAAAAACAGTGAAACGATAAATTTCACAGATATCTGAGATTTACTGCAGAGGCAATTATTTGGTTTGGTTAATTATGACAAATATTTATTTTTGCAGACTTTACAGAAATCCTTAGCTATTAATCAATGCACAGTATATTGAAGAATTAAAAGTATCAAACTGATTCAGGATGTCTTGATTAGAACTCTCAAATTTACCACATTGTACATAGGTTTTGCTCTATTACTTTTCAGTCTCCCTGTGTTGTCTCAATTCATAGAAATATGGTGTCCTTAAGATCCTGTAGCCCTGGGCCCTCAGCTCTTCTGTTTACATTCTTTCACCTCTGAACAGCCCACAGACATAGGCCAAAGAAAGTAGCATATGGGGGCTACAAAGGAGTAGATTTCTGATGAGGAAGGGTGAGAAGAAAAAAGGTGGAATGGAGCTACTACCAATTTTGTAGGATGGTTACTTGGAGGGGGACATTTCTAGGCCTGATTCTTTGTATTCTCCCTGCACGTCTATTTTCCCTTTCCAACAGTAAAGAGGAATTCCTTTGGCATTTGAGAACTTCCTTTTTTTTAATGTTCTGCAAACAATCGAGGTTGAATTCCAAAAATCCAATGTTTAACAATTATTGTGTAGCCCACAATGTTAGATATATCAACAGTTTCAGTGATCTCTTGGCCTCAATCTGTTGTACATTATAATGTAGAAAATTGTAATTGCACTTCACTAACCTGAAAACTTAATGAGTCTCACCAAAAATGCCTCCTTCTTTCAACTTCTAAGCAATTATTTAATAAATAACTATAATAAGGTCTCATGCATCTGACTTAATAAACCACAGTATAGTGTGTGTTTGTACTGATGTATTGGAAAGAGTCACATTTCCACTCTACAAATATTTAATGTCACAAGAATACAAAGAAACTATTTCTTTCAATAATAACAGGAGCTTGAATCATACATAATATTCCCATGGTTTCATGTTGCTGTGATTCCTTTTACATTAATTAAAAAAGCATGCCAAACTGTTCTGATAATGTAATTCCACTGTTTAATATTAAAGATTCATGTTATGCTTTGGAAAATATTGATTGAATGATGTGGAACTCTTCTAATAATGAATAAAAGGTTGTATAAAAATTCCCAAGGTCTGGAGGGAAATTACTCCCATGCTTTTTCTCGGTATATTCTCATGAAACCAAGAGGCAAGGAAATGACAGGAAGCCTGAAATCAATCACAGAGAAGATACATTTGAAAAGTCTAGGGAGAAATTGATTTAGTCACTTTGCCTTCTAGTTTTTGCTCTTGATTATGTTGTGAAAGATTCTTATGTGTCTGCTCCACAGAGCAGTAGAGAACGGCTTCTTGTGTTTCACAAGCCTTAATCATGTGACAGGATTAGAACACAGTGTTCACTAGGGTTTTGAAGAAACCCTTCATCCCAGAAATGGTTCATAACCATAAGTTTAATAAAGCATGCTAGAGTCTCAGTGATTAATGTACTTAGCAAACTTTAGCAAAATTAATCAGAGGAAAATACTAAACAGTGTGGCATGTGATGAAATATAATAAAATGTTTTGAATGGAAACACAGGAAACCTGATCTTAGTTCTAATATGAATTATGGGGGAGAAATCTGAGTGGGAAGATCATAGAAAAACCCCAGGATTGTGTTATACTTGAACCATTTTTATATTAGTATAGATAACACGCTAG